CCGGATGTTTAGAGTAAATATGGAATTTACCATCATCTTCTCCATTTAATTTCTAATTTAGGTGTGTGCATCTTCACTGTTCTCCTTCCAGAGCGCCTGGTTCGACCACCCACCTCAATGCCCCTAAAATCAATGGTCTCTCCCTCTCTTTTTCTCTATAAATGTGTGTGTCAATTTCTTGGAATTTGATCTCAATTTGGAATTAGATCTTCTTCTTCTTCAATTTTTTTTTTTACTTTATATATTTTTCAGTGTCTGTTTTGAATAAGACAATTGGACATGTGATGGTAAGTTTCTTGATTTCTAACTTTTTATTCAAGAAATGCAAGTTTTTATATTGTTTACATGTATTGTGATGAAGATAGGGTTTTGCTACTGGAGATCTAACATACTACATCTAAGAGCAAATGGATAAAATTCGGGTTCAACAACCTTTTTTCAAATATGCACATGGGAAGGTAAATTTGTTTAATTTATTAACAAAACACAATACTAATATAACACCCTAAGTAATGTATGTTTATGATTATAATTTATCGTATGTAATATAATTAGTTTTTTATATATAGAAAGCTAAAGAGATATTAAAGAAATCTCTTGGTGCAGTTTTTACCAAAAATAAGGCTATTTACCCCTATTTTAGTCTTTAGTGATGTGGGTTTGTGATCTTTATCTATGGACTCCAATAAGTGGTGAATGTACTTCTATTGCCTGGAAATCAGAGTTGCGGGTTGGCTACTGTTAGTGTGGAGGCTTGAATTTTTTATACCAAAATTGGTATAACATTTACCGATTTATGTATGTTGTTGCTTCTCAGATTCAATTTTGATTTGAAGTTTTCTATTGCTGTGTTGTTTCAGGTGCCAATCAGTCAAAACCTTCAAAGAATGCTTTCAATCCTAAACATGGATCATCAAGATCTACGGCACCACCATGTGAAAAGAGGCTTACCAAAATCTATGGTGCCACCAAGTTTGAACCACAATTATAACACTCTATTGTTCCAAAATCAAATGGCATGAAAGGTGAATAACTCTTTATACTATATTTTAGTGATTAATGAGACATCATATTAATCTTCTAGGTGTTTCTTATTTCAAGAATCAAGATTTTATAGTTGAAATGGCACATCTTTTTTCATTATCTTTTCATCTTAACTCATGTTATAGATTATTGACTTTTTTCATTATCTTTTCATCTTACATCAGACACATATGTTGTGTCTGATGTATGTGTGCTTCATGTATGTCTGTTTGTTGTACGTGTATGTGTCTGATGGCACATGTGTTGTGTGTGTTCACATACGTTGTGTGTGTACTGCATGTACGTGTCTGATGTATGTGACTTATGATCATGTAATTGGTGTTACTACTTTGTGAATGGTAAATTGGGAAGATATTAATAAATACAAGACTCTATAGGAGGAAAATGAGGAGACTGTAAAGGTTTCTGTTTGATGTGTGGTTTGAAAGTGATCAGAGTAAAGAATCAGAATGGTTATTAAATGTTGAAGAATTTGGAATGTATTTAACTGTTGTATTAAAGTGGAAGTGGCCAGAATGGTATAATGGATAACTATGTGATTATTGTGGGTTAGTGAGTATGGGTTTTTGTTGCTTATTACCTTGGGATCGAGTAGAATTCTGAGGGCCAACCCCAAGTCCCCAATTTGATGTGTTGTGATTTAATTGGAACAAACAACTCATGAAAAGGGGGCATTTTAGTCAAAATAGAAAAATATGGTTTTGGATGAAATGGGAATTTTAGTCAAAAGTTTACGTGATGTTCCAAAAAAAAACAAATTATCTAATAAAGCTGAATCTATAAGAAAAAGTAATATGCAATACATATTTTACAGTATAAGCTGAAAAAATTCTAAATTTAAAACATCATGTACATATAAGGTGTTATAAATAAAAAATTGTGATAGAAAATAAGATAAATTACAAATTCAATCTTTTACAGTTTACAATATATTTTTTTTTCAATTTTGGTCATAGTTATTCAAAAAAGATTAACTGAGTGGCAATGTGATTTTATTTATAACCTAAAACGTAAAAATATTCTTACTTAAAACAGTAAACAACAATATAGATTTTAACTTTAATTCAAAATAAAATATTTTAATTTTTGGACTAAAAAAGAAAAATATTTTTAAATTTTTTAGAAAAACTACTCCACGCTCACCGAAAGATAACTAACCATCGTCCAAAAACTTTTTGTTACTTTTGCGATTTAATGACTATGAGGGAGATTATTCTGGAATGGCACCAAAAAATTTTATTATAATTATTCTCGATCGCTAAACACAGATCTTAATGGAAAATAACATATATATTTTGCTGACATATAAGAATCAAGTTAAGATAAAGCCTTATGTACAATAGCATTTTAGTTATATATCGTAGCCTCGGGGATGCGCTGCGGACGGACCGGGGATATGCCTAATTTTCAAAAGGATGAAATTCGATTCCCTGAACCCATCGGGGATAGGGACGTGAATTGCTAGACTAACGATGGAAGAGGTTTCCAGCAAAAAGAAATCATTCATTGTTCGCCGTATTGCGTTTGGTGATACTTGTCAACACAGTGTGCCTTTTGTTAATATGACATGTTTCATAAAATAAACTAATCGATGAATTGAAACAAATCATTGTCCGCCGAAAACTAATTTTCGAAAAAAGCTATTTGCCTTCCGCCGCTTTGCGCGGGTACACGGCTAGTATATATATATATATATATATATATATATATATATATATAATATATATATATATATATATATATATATATATAATTGATGCGACATCGACCTCCAGCGAGTCTTCTAGTCTTCTGCTGCTGCGGAGATCTGGACATCACAGTGCAAAGTCGTTAGTGCCACCCCAGGGATTGTGCCCCGGGAGCGGACTCCGACGGTCAAGTTAGATCAGCTAGAAGATCTGAGATGGTCTTCCATAGCTGGAGAGAACCATCTTGGTGCTGGTGGTGGTGTATGAGGGCTGACGGCGGCGGGTGGTAGTTGAGCCACCCGACCGGAGTATAGTGTGGCGGCTGAACCATTGGGTAAGAACCCTATGGGAAAGGTCCTTGGGAAAAGTCCTCCTTCATGGAGGAGGAACTATTCTATTTATAGTGGACAATTAGGTCAAGGGGAATTGGGTTAGGCCTTGGGCCAAGCCCAATTCAGGCCCAACTAGCAAGGAGCTGGGCAAGGCCGCCCGGAGGCGCCGGGCGGGGCTGGCGAGCGCGCCCCAGGCAGGGCTGGCGGGCGCGCACCAGGAGAGGATGGCAAGAGAGTGCTAGGCGAGGGAGCGCCTGGCCGTGCAGGCAGGAGAGTCCCCAGCAGGGCTGGCAAGGGAGTCCCCAGCAAGACTCGCAAGGGAACGCCAGGCAGGGCTGGCAGGAGCGCGCCAGGCCAGGCTGGCGCGCTAGAGCAGTCTAGGCCATGCCAATGGACCATATATCATCAAGTCCCCCCAGTATGATGTTATTGGTACACGACAATGACATCGGACTGGAACTAGTCATATAAACTGTGCGTCGTCGAGTCCCCCTAGTCTGATGCGATTGGGTTGCTGACAATCGGATCGGACTAGATAAAGCACCAATACATTAAATAATAAAGAGAACGACTGAACTTTGCCCACGAGAGTCGTGGGGTTGTGCGTAGAGCCAAACGTTGCTTATGCAGCTTGAGCTGACTTGATACTCCTTTCTTGAGAGGAGTGTAAGCCGATTGGTGCGACGCAACGTAACTGTTGCTGCGATAATGCAGACCGAGGCTGCTAAAGAGTGTCACACGGCACTGATGTCGATGGAATGTCGGGCCGGGGTAGCTAAGAAGCGTAAGCTTTCCATTCAGTCCCTGAGACTGTTATCCGACGTGATTGTTGTGGTAGCCATGCGAGATGGGATGTCACCAGTAACCATCTACATAGTCTGCATTAATAACCGCCTTGAGGATCTTTCTTGCTCGGGCTACACCTAAATGGATTGCCCCTAGTCTGATGTGGGTAGCGTAGGTAGCCGTGTCAGACTATGTTGTCAAACCAATAAACCGTAAGGTTGTTGACCATAATATAAGTGACAGAGATTCCGAGAGCTGTGCGATTAGGTTGCTAGCGAGGGTCACATAGCGAGACTATTGTCGATAGCCAGACAACAGAATTCTTGAGGAACAGGTAGTGAGGCTATAGGTAGGAAACATGCAGTGAGACTGTTGCCGAGAGCCAGGCAACAGTGATGCTGAGGGATACGCAGCGAGGCTACAGGTAAGGTTGCCTAGCAAGAGCGTTTCCGAGAGCCAGGAAACAGTGATGCTGTGGGATACGCGGCGAGGCTACAGGTAAGGTTGCATGGCAAGACCGTTTCTGAGAGCCAGGAAACAGAGATGCTGTGGGATACGCGACGAGGCTACAGGTAAGGTTGCATAGCAAGACCGTTTCCGAGAGCCAGGAAACAGAGATGCTTAAGGTAGTAGGTGGCAGGGCCGCTGTCGGGATGACCTTCTTGCTGGAGAGTAACCTCACTATAGCAGGTTGTAATGAAGATAACACTTCATCGATCGTTCGAGCACAAGAGAACCGTGATGACTGTGAGAGAGGAAGCACCAAGATCATGGTGTGGAATAAGCTTGTGATGCGCGACTTATGGTGCGCGACGGATCGGGTGGAACGGATTGGGTTTGGCTGCTAACGATCGTAGATAGATCATGCGAGAGAGCATCGCGTGGAACGGATTGGGCTTGGCTGCCAGCGATCGTAGATAAATCACGCGGAAGAGCATCGTGTGGAATAGATCGGGCTTGGCTGCCGGCGATCGTAGATAGATCACGCGGAAGAGCATCGCGTGGAATGGTCGGAGCATGTTGCTATAATGGAGTCGGGCTGAGAAGCCAGGCGAATCGAGGCAAAGGTACTGAACCTCGGATGCGGAGCTTGCCGCTGTAATGGAGTCGGGCTGAGAAGCCAGGCGACTCGAGGCGAGGGTACTAAACCTCACATGCGAAGCTTGCAGCTACAATGGAATCGGGCTGAAAAGCCAGACGACTCGAGGCGAGGGTACTGAACCTCGCATGCAGAGCTTGCCGCTACAATGGTGCCGGACTGAAAAGCCATACGACTCGAGGCGAGGGTACTGAACCTCACATACGGAGCTTGCCGCTGTAATGGAGTCGGGCTGAGAAGCCAGGCGACTCGAGGCGAGGGTACTGAACCTCGCATGCGGAGCTTGCCGCTACAATGGAGCCGGGCTGAAAAGCCAGATGACTCGAGGCGAGGGTACTGAACCTCGCATGCGGAGCTTGCCGCTACAATGGAGCCGTGCTGAAAAGCCAGACGACTCGAGGCGAGGGTACTGAACCTCGCATGCGGAGCTTGCCGCTACAATGGAGCCGTGCTGAAAAGCCAGATGACTCGAGGCGAGGGTACTGAACCTCGCATGCGGAGCTTGCCGCTATAATGGAGCCGGGCTGAAAAGCCAGTCGACTCGAGGCGAGGGTACTGAACCTCGCATGCGGAGCTTGCCGCTACAATGGAGCCGGGCTGAAAAGCCAAACGACTCGAGGCGAGGGTACTGAACCTCGCATGCGGAGCTTGCCGCTATAATGGAGTCGGACTGAGAAGCCTGGCGACTCGAAGCGAGGGTACTGAACCTCGCATGATTGGACGTAGCACCCCACAATCTATGTGTCTAGCTCGTGTGATCAGTTTGGGTTAAAGTGGAATGGTACCTGATGCTTTGCTGCATCGCTAGTCGTACTAATAATTGACGCCTCGGTGTCTTGACTGTTTGTCGAGGGCTATGCGGGGATGCTACTTAGAGCTGGATGGTGTAGCTACCGTCAAGTGGTGCGTAGCGAGACCACCGTCGAGAGCTGGTCATCAGGGCCGTTGAGAACTGAGCACCGAGCTGCTAGCGATAGATGAGCAGCACGACCGCTGAAAGCTGGTCAACGAGACTACCGAGGGTTGAACGACAAGGCTGATCTTCCGACTCGGAATATTAATATCACCTCGGGAGTGCACTATCATGCATAACATCAGCTCTTCATGTACTTTAACTCTGCCCCTTCGGAATAAAAATCACTTATGCATGGTGTCGTACCAACCCTACTCCCCCTTTTTTTTTCTTAGAAGGGGCGAAGAAAAGGGGAATATGGATGTACAACTGCTGAAAGCTGAGATACATAGCTGCTGGAAAGAGCTAGGCGACCCAAGTACTAACAAAAACTGGGTAGCACAGCTGGCGAGAGCTGAGCAGCGCGACTGCTGGCAGTCAGGCAAAGTAGCTGCTGATGATTGGGCTCTGCGGCTGCTGACCTAGGTCGTGTCGCTGCTGAAAGTCGAGCTGCGCGACTACTAAGAGCTGGGAAGTAAGGCTAGCGGGGGCCGGTCAACATGAATGTGAGGGCTGATTAGTGAGACTTCCCAGGATTGGTCGACACGGCTGCTGATAGCCGCGCATCACAGTTGCTGATGGCTATTTCGAAATGCTTCACTAGTAGTAGTAGCGTACTACTCTTCTCCCTTTCTTTTAGGGGGATCGCAGCACGTGAGTACCGAGTAGTCTTGTAAAATTGATCCATTTTCTTTGGTAGAGTAGTTCAACATGATGAAATGCTAGCCTAAAATAAATCTGTTGGGGCCCCCATTGTTGAAGTAGTTCATAACTATGAAAAGACCACTTTAGGAAAGACTCAAAGTAGAATTCATGGAGCCAATTTACGGACTAATTAGCCCATTCGCTTTGATTGTGGGCCAAAGTGCTAAACCTTTGCTCTTTTTTTATATTTGTGAAAATGTCGGATTTGTTGAATAAAATCGCAGCACATGTCGATTTACCCCTTCTGTCTTGCAAAAGATAGCCCTCTATTACGTTGTTGAACAGCCCACGGAGCGGATATAGGTAAAACCCAAATATTGCAGCCCAAATACTGTGATCCATTTATAGAATAAGCCTAATATAATAATGGGTCATGATTAGATGAAACCCACTAATCTTGTAGGAGTCCGTTTCCTCTACATGATTTTTAGCCCAAGTCATTTTCCTTGACATCCTCAGTTACAATTTATAGGGCCCTCCCTCAGTTGCTTATCTGTTTTGGAGATCCGCTTCTTTCCCCTTCCGCTACTAAGGAAAAAGAAATCGACAACTACAGCTCGTTGAGGCTCTTTCTTTTCCTTTCATCATTTTTTTTCTCCTTTTTTTTTTTGAAATTGCCACAGGTAAGGAGTAACAGCGTTGTAGTTGGGCCAACGACATGGAGCTGTGGGGTCTACGCAACTGATGGAGGAGATGTGGCTCTGTTTGGTGATGATGAGCGAGAGCATGGAGGCCGACTGGATCTTTGGTTTGCGATCTGAGAAAACCTTGGTGGTTTCCCTTTGGAATTAGTCACCCATAGATGGATATCGGAGACGCAATTTCGCCAGCGACGTATGTCTATTGGATCGACATTGAGCGACACAGTGATTAGAGTTGCTATCATATGGGGTCGACGGTGTGGTTCGATGAAGGGTTCGTTTTTGGAGTTGGTCGTCGACTGGAGTGTATGTAGTGGTAGCGATGGGGATCGGGGGTGCAATTTCATCGGTGACGTGAGTATGTTGTAGGCTGTCTGAAGGTCTGTGGAGAAGGAGCAAAGATCGATGATTGGTTAGGGCAGCGGGAATTAAAGGTGTAAGACCGAGAAAACACGGGATCAGCGGTTATCGTCATTGGCGTGGGGTGAAGGTTTCTGCTGAGGGTTCTTAGTCGGAATTAAAGGTTCGCCTGTGCTGGTTTGCTCTGGTTGGAGATGCTTCGTTGAAGATGTCTGTCGACTAGGTCAACTGAGGGGCTTTCGTCCGTGACGAGGAGTCCAGGTGGGACCTGGTGGATGCAGGCAATTTGGTGATGCCCTGGCTCTAGTGAACAGAGATTGATTGAACACAGAAGAGGGTGATTGGCGGTCTGCGCAGGCGCTAGGTAGCGTTGATCGGAGGAAACGACTGGTCAGCAACCGCTACTGGTGGCGATGGTGCTGAGGCTACTATGGCCGACGGGTGGTTCTGGTCGGGTGGCACGTGACGACTTCTAGATGTGCTTCGTTGGGGCCGGTGGCGACCAGCTTGAGGCGTGCTGTTGGAGTTACTGCGGTGAAGGGGCCAAGATCATCAACCGGCAGCGCTCGGGTTCTGCTCATCGGGATCGAGGCGACTAAGTCTGGATTTATTTGGGATCTCTTTGACTGTTCGAAGGAGTGTTGACTGGGTGGGTCCCGACTTTTTTGTCTTTTCTGTTTATTGAGGATTGGACCTCGTAGGTCCCACACGGGTTTTTTATTTTGTTGACAACACTGTCTCTGGTGCACTGTGCACCCTTACCCCCTCTTTTTTTTTTTCTCTTTTTGTCGGCTTAGGGGAGACAAAGAGGATCAAGACCATTTTGTAATAATTATTTTATACAACTTTTGTATATGCGAACTGTAAAATTGTAAAATGATTTTTCTCTCTTTTTTTTGTTGGTCATGAATCTACAAAGAATAATACAGCTGGTAATTTGCTGGACCACATACAACACCTTGTCCAATGTATAGACACGGTTATCCCCATATTTTTTCTTTGAAAATTATTTACTGTAATGGTAACTAGTGCGGGGGTAATTTTTATTAGTGTTTTGGAATGCACATGACTTAAGTAAACTTACACACATAAACTCATTTCTAAAATGAGTTTTTAGTAATATGTGTACTGAAAAATGGTAAAATTTGTAAAAGCCCCATTTCTTCTCAACTTTCTTAGCAAGTCATAAAAAAGAATGACAAAACTGAGCTAAGATGAAAATGAGTTTTCTGAAAGTTTAAGAGGGTAAAAAATTCATAGAAACTTATTTCTTCCTTCAAGCTTTTAAATCTTGAGTAAACTTATATACAGAAAATCATGAACTTAAATGAGATTTTCTGGAAACATATAAACTAAAAGTGGGATAGAACCCATAAAGAACTTCTTCTTCTCTCTCTTCTTTTCCTGAAGAGTTTTGTCAAATGTACAAGCTACACAGCTGTATGTACAAATAAATGCTTCAGGAATTGAAGTTCTGTACAAAAATCGTTTTTCTCCTCTAAACTTCTAAAGAAAAAACACCAAAAATATAAAAAGTGGTGTAAAAATTCGAGTTTTCTCCTGATTTTATGAACTGAAAAATATGAGTGACAACTCATAAAACTTCTTTTCTTCTTGAACAAACCCCAAGATATAAACAAAAAACAGATCTAAGAAAGTTTTTGCATATTTGGGGAGTATTTGAGTGAAGAAAATCATGTAGATCCATAGATCTGAACTAAACACGAAATGGATCTAACAAAGTTTTATCCTCACTAAACCTTCTTTACTCTTTAGCTTGCTCAACAGATCTGAAAATCTTTTGTTTTCCATCTCTAAGCTTCTAGAGAAAGCATCAAATAAACAACTTGAATAAAGTTGTACATGAGAAATCAGGAAACAAAGACCGATTTTCTCGAAAATGAGCAAGCAAAAGAAGTAAAAACTTGCAAAATATTATTTGTTCTTCAACTTGGTGAATAAAATTCGAAAATATGAACAAAGATGGGGAAAAACTCATAGAAATCTCTTTTCTCCCCAACTTTCTGAATAATCCAACAAAGATGGATCTGATAAAATCTTTTAACATGAGAATTGCTCAAATAAACTAAAACAAGACATATTTAGATATCTTAGCAAAAACAAGGTAGATCTAACGATATGAGCAAAAAAACTCAACAGATCTAAAGATCTGAGCAAAAACTAAACAGATCTGAAAGATCTTGGCGAAACCAAATCGATCTATATAGATCTTGGTAGAAACCAAATGGATCTGAACCAAATGGTGGGTAGAAATGGACAGATCTGAACAAATCTTAGATGAAAACACATCAGATCTGAACAAATCTGGTCAAAATCGAGCTTGAGGCCTACTGAGGCTTTTGATACTTGCTCGAATCCGGGATGGCGCCAAATGATGCGACATCGACCTCCAGCGAGTCTTCTAGTCTTCTGCTGCTGCGGAGATCTGGACATCACAGTGCAAAGTCGTTAGAGCCACCCCAGGGACTGTGCCCCGGGAGCGGACTCCGACGTTCAAGTTAGATCAGCTAGAAGATCTGAAATGGTCTTCAATAGCTGGAGAGAACCATCTTGGTGCTGGTGGTGGTGTATGATGGCTGACGGCGGTGGGTGGTAGTTGAGCCACCCGGCCGGAGTATAGTGTGGCGGCTGAGCCATTTGGTAAGAACCCGATGGGAAAGGTCCTTGGGAAAAGTCCTCATTCATGGAGGAGACACTATTCTATTTATAGTGGACAATTAGGTCAAGGGGAATTGGGTTAGGCCTTGGGCCAAGCCCAATTTAGGCCCAACTAGCAAGGAGCTGGGCAAGGCCGTCCGGAGGCGCCGGGCGGGGATGGCCAGCGCGCCCCAGGCAGGGCTGGCGGGCGCGCACCAGGAGAGGATGGCAAGGGAGTGCCAGGCGAGGGAGCGCCTGGCCGGGCCGGCAGGAGAGTCCCCAGCAGGGCTGGCAAGGGAGTCCCCAGCAAGACTCGCAAGGGAACGCCAGGCAGGGCTGGCAGGAGCGCGCCAGGCCAGGCTGGCGCGCTAGAGCAGTCTAGGCCATGTCAATGGACCATATATATATATATATATATATATATATATATATATATATATATATATATATATATATATATATATATATATATATATATAAAATGTAAGGCCCCCATTTAAAATTGGGCTAGGATCTTCGTAAGATAAAGCTTAGGGGTTATCATTCCTCTACAATTAATATGTCTCTTCTTACAACTAATATTAGTGCGTCTTTCCATTTGTATATGTATGTTCATGCAGTGGTTGAAAAACAAAATATTTTAAAAAATTATATGAACCTATCGAAGGGGCTTTTTAACACTCCACTTCAATTTTTTTCATTATTACCACATTGCAGTTCCGGCGACTTTTTACCGGCAACCTGTCACCGCTACTACATTTACCAGCGATTTTTTTCGCCGCTAATTCTCCTTTTTCTTGTAGTGATCATATAAACAAAGGGACAACAAAGCTTAATTAATAAGCTCTTCCTACCAAAAACAAAGGACCCATTTCTTTAAAGGTTGTAAGAGATAATTTCTGAATGTTACTCATATAAGTTTTTTTAGAAGTATTTTTGTAAATGATAAAAAAAACTATTATATGTGAATTTTGTAGTCAAATTTTATATGATTTTTTTAAAATTGTGAAATTTTATAAATGTTTAAACTTGGAATATAGTTTATATGATGTTAAATTGGAATGGAAAAGTATATTCCTTGTGGATTACATGTAAATCAATTGATTTTTATTTTGTTCGTAAAATAAATATGGATTTTGTCTTTATTATTGGAATGGAACAATAGACCATTTTTTTTCCCGACCCAATTATTTTGACCAATTTGATGACCTCATCATATAGTTTATCTAGTGTCCCAACATGAAAACTTTCTAGATCCACCATTGACGATAGGGAAGATTTGCATTCGATTTTATCAAGTTAACTATTGAGTTCTTATTCCAAT